TCAGCGGCAGAAGACCAGGTTGGTCCTGTCGAGATGCATTCGCAGTTCAGTCCATGGCTTCAAGTTGTGTCAAATACTGCCAGACATGAACGGTGACGATGCAGGCCTCAGACCGCACCACGGCCGAGGCTGGGGAGCTTCGTGTGTGCATGCGGCTGACAGAAGCACCACCTTTTTGCGGCCAACGGCTGCCCTTCCTCATTGCTTGTATATTCAAAAGGGTCAAGCCTTTGCTTCACGAGGGCTGGATGCGGAACTTTGGTGGACTTCCGTTCTGCAAGGGGTCCTTTGACTTGCAAGAGCTACCATAGTACATGCAAGAGTGCATTAGATACGTTACAGCCGTTCACTTGTCCGTTCAACTCATGCCGAGGGCACTGGTTGAGAATATGACAGTGCCGGTGTGCACGGCAAGATGTCAATCTCAATTCGGCGCTGGTCGACTTCACAGCCAAAATGGAAAGACGCAACTCCAATAGCCTCCAATCAACTCCACCCTGCTCGCAGCAAGCATGAGGTGTTGATTGTTCTGTGTGCAGACTTGCCTGCAAGTATGCCTGCGGAGCGATGTAGGTGATGGCAGTAATGACAACGGGCGCTTGGGAGTAACAGCGCAGTGAAAATGCTCAGCGATTGAGCATCTGGCGAGTGAAGGAGCTCGCGTTGCAGTATCTGGCTTGGGAAGCTTCCTTGCAGGGAGTCTTCCACCAGTGGTCCCGATTCTACAGCGGTCCGCTCCTTAAGCAGCCTTTAGCCACGCGTCTCGGCAACACTGAACAGTGCTTAGATCGTGCCGATTTCCCTGCTGCTTTGCTCACTTCATAGGCTGCCCCTGATCCAGTGCCAGCGTCATCAGGCACAGGACCGGCTCGGATTCAAGGGATGGATTCTGTTGAATTCTGTTGTATGAGACCCCCTGCATCCCGAAGCTCGCCGAGTTGTGGTCTCAACCGATTCTCGGGTGCTGGAAGTTCAAGTCGCAGGTTTGGGAGCAACCTGTATGTCCCGGATGTGAATCCACAGTCTTAAACTCCCTGAGTGTGAAACCAAAGGCAGTACGTGGCCTTGATTCCGCAGCGTATGACTGTATGATACTGTGTGATAGTTTCTCGTGTATCAATCTGTCCTGATCCCTCGGTCCACCTCATCGATGTCAAGGGCGTGTCTAGAAATCAGAGTGTGGACAAGGTTCTGCAAGCACGCCTCAGAACGCCCACCTCCAAGAGTACTTAAATCTCAACTGGAACCTTTTGTCGTGCATGCATTGCAGGAGGTGCTTCGCCGGTGCAGCGATCGCAGCGGCCTCGAGTCCCCACCCGGTTGCGGTTGCTCCCGCATGAGTGAAAGAGATCTAGAGAAGCAAAAACTGGAATTTCGGGCGGGAACCGAGTCGTAGTTCGATGCCAGCGCTAGAAGTATCTATGTTTCGAAAGTTGAGGCCAACTGCGGACCTTGGAGCATCAACAGGGCAGTCCTCGACCCCGACCAGGTACTCCTGCACGACAGTTTTGCTATGTTTTGCTCGGTTGCTGATGCCAGGCGCAAGCATGCCTTCAGTGCAATTAGCTTCCAGCGTTGACTGCTTGACTCGAATCAACAGTTAACGAGAGTGAACGTCCCGCTGCATATTTGCTGACATTTATATGTATAACTACATTTAGAGACACACATTCGTGAGGCACTGTCAAAGAACGCAACTGTTGCCTTCCTTGCTACTTGTTCCGTCCGTTGAGGTTGCCGGAGCAGCTTCGAAGGTGGGGGGGGGGAACAGGATACGGTGGGCAAATAGTGTCAACGACATTTGCATGTACAACGTTGATTGACTTGTCTTTTCTGACCTTCCTCATCCAGTTCTTACGAGCGGCAGGCGAACAGCACTGATGGCTGTTGACCTGGAAGATGGGCCCTCTGTCCACACGCAGATCCGCAACCTTTTCGGGCTCGGCCCCATGCACGTTCGTCATCTTGCATCCAGGGCAGCTCCCCTCCCTTCACACGTCCTTCAGGAATGGCCAGCGGGTTGATCCCAAGACCTGGGTAGCTCTTGTCGAGAACTTGCAGTCTGATGCTCAGCATCACGGAATAGACTTTGGAGACTGGGTCCCAGGGTTGCAAGCCCCCCTCTTTGATGGCTTGTTCTGCCAAGGCACTCAAGACAATCTCATATGGCACCAGACTCAGCCATCCAGAGTCAAACCAATGTCCCACTCTAACCCAGCCTTGCACACCAGCATGGTAGACGAAGCCTTTGCCTTTCTGAAAGTTCCCCAGGCTGGCCATTTAAACGAAGTGGATCAGGAAAGAAGGAAAGCGCAACAGGTGTCGGGGCTTGCTCTTGTGAGTGTCATGTTGTGTAGTGCGTGGCCACATGCTGCAAGGCTGCTGATGACGAACATGTAGACTTTCTCAGTGACGCACGAATTCTCCAAGGTGCCGGGCCCCAGCATGCAATGATACGTGAGAGTGGAGGTGTACCTTCAACAGTCTGGGCTGTGAAGACATCAAGCTCGCCCATGCGTTGTATAGTTTTAGTCAATGACTCACATTTTGTGTTGCAAAGTTGTACCTGTCAAATTTGGAGCTGTTCGCACTCGGGCAGTTCTTCGCAACCAGCCAGCCACGCCGTCTACAGCAAGAATCAAGGATGCGCAAAGGCTCGAAACTCTCACTCTGTGAACGCCGATCGCAAACTCTAGAATCTCTAGAAGTATGATCTTCAGTTGTGGCAGGCCCGCACAGCGTAGAGCGATGTCAGCTGCCTTCACGGATCGTGGCGTTTCCCAGCTGCAAAGCTTAACTTGCAAGCGTGGCCCTGAGTGCGTGTGCAGCTTCTGTGCTCTGAAAGCAGGTTCGTCTGCGTGAAGGCCGCCTGTAGAGGGCCCATGTACTGCTTAGTGAGCTTTTAGGGAACCTTGGCTGAACGTGGTTTTTTGACTCGACAGGGCTGGCGGCCCAAGCGATTTTCAACCGCGGCCAGCACAGCTACGAGGATCCTGGACCATTGCGGCCCCAGGAGCGTGGCACATGATGCACATGATGCACATGATGCACATGATGCACAGGATACATGTTTTTGTGCCCTGAGTGTGTTTTGGGGACGATTGCTGCATTTTCAGGATGAGTGGACCCTGCATCCAGCAGGCTTTGCACCTCAAGTCTTAGTTTGCGTTCCTGTTGTGGATGTGAAGCTGGAAGGTCAGCCAACCCACGCGTGTACACACAACATTGTGGCGGACCGGGTCATGTCGAAAACTGTTCTTCTCATTGTCAAGCAGCATCGGTTTGGCGCACCCTTTGAAGCTGCGATCAGAGGACCCCTCCTTTGCAAGCCCAGAGCTTAGACTTAGACTGGGCGATGTGGCTTAGATGCAGAGGGTACTATCGTTGTGTGAGTATTAGAACCACCCGGCCCCAGGTAACCACTGCTATGTGCAGGCGGATAGTCCAGGTGTCAGAAAGGCTCGCCCGGCAAACCATAAGTGCGATGACGTGCAACGGGAGAGGCAGAGGGAGTAGACTGAGCGTGGTTGGCTCCCTCAAAGAGGCAGACAGAAAGAGAGTGTGCAAAGAGTTCTGTCCGTAACGAGTGGTGTTTACATGAAGGTGTTTCCCTTTTTTGTGTGCAGGCATTCGAGTATGCGCAAGGTGCGGAAATTAAGTTTGGCACTTCAAGTTGCTGTCCATGTGCTCGAAACATGAAAGTGCCAGGCTGTGCTCAAGACCACGAGCTGCTCTTCCAGCAGAGCATGAAGCGCAAGGTTGGCGTTTGAGCGGATGTTCTTTGAACGGCCTGCCGGTTAGGGCCCAGACAGAACCACCAGAGATCGCCAGACACAACCACCCCACTGGCAGCATTTGCCAACCCTACACTCAAGCACAGGTTGTCAATGTTGTCACTAGTCACGCTAGCCCACCCCACCGCGAGGGGGGAGAGACGCGTCAGGAAAGAGGGAAGAAGCATGCGCGAGTTTTCGTCTTGGGTCCATTCACAGGAAGCTGCTGATGCTCGTCCCGGTGGCTCCTAGAAACGAGGGCTGTTTGGGGCGCATCGTGGAGGCTGCAGGTGTCGATGCTGCCTTTTTGGGTGCAGCACTGGGTTTGAGCGTGAGGATCGAGGCGGCCCCCCCAACACGCTGGATCCGTGCAATTGTGTGCCGGATGTGCGGGAACTTAGGGGCGGGTGAACAGGCGGTGGGGTGGCGTTCATGGTGAGCTGGGGTACCTACAAACAGCATGAGCGGCACCACACACGAATCCACGCAAGTGCCACTCACTCCCGGGAGGGTCGACAGATTGTCTTGGTAAGAGGCCTCTAGGATGCTCCAGGCCTGCATCTTATTGCCCTGCAAGGGACGAGTAAGCAAAGAAACGATGGAGCAGTGGAAAGATGCGAAGAGCACCCGGCGGAAGACCGAGGTTGGAAGCAAGTTGCTTTGCTCAGAGGCCCTATGCTTGTGCCAGTGCCTCCAACATTGCAGGGTGGAATCAAGAAGTCGCCGGAGGCATTGCTGCTTGCGTATGTTACACAAAGCTGCAAAAGTCCATTGTTTGTATTCTAAATTTCACAAAGTTGCTTGGCCACGCTATTTCCAGTAAACCAGGTTTTCCGGGCACTTGATGGTGATTGGAAAATTGAGGAGCTTGAGTGGAACGCGAGAGGAGAGCATCATGTGCAGGGTGGGAATCCTGCTCTGCTTCGGTCGGGTGCTTCTTACGTTCTGAATCCGCGGGCCCGGAGCTTGGAGCCAGAGTGTTTCTACATGATTTTCATATGCCTCGGGCCATGGCCGAACATTGGTGGGGTGCTTCAGTTGTTACGCAGTGTCCGTGAGAATCCGTGAGAGCTGGTGCACAATATGGTTTCTGGACGATGCCCGTAGTTGTCCGAGTCGGGCCATTTTGAATCTTGAGTTGTGACTCTCTGCACACTGCCAATCGTTCCCGTAGCGTTCTCTGGGAAGATCATGCGTCGCTTCAGCCGAAGACCCAAGCTACCCCGAATGCCACATTGCTACCAGTGCCTCACCAGCCAGACGCTGTCAAGGACGAAGATCCACCTCATCCACATGACCGAATATGCAAAGAGAGGAAGGCTTGATGTTGGCCAGACGCGAGAACTGCCTTGTACAGTGCTCCAGCAATGTCCAACAAACCTCTTGGGCAGGCAAGAGGTGAGTTCAGATATGGCTATTCAGCGGAATGCCACCGGCAAGCCATCAACTGGAATCAAGATCTGTACAGGCCCGTCTTTTCCTGCCATTGCTTTGTTCTGGCTCCGGATGTCTTGTACTCTCTGATGAGAACAGGTTCGAAGTGCTGTCCTATGGTGGTGATGGCTGCCGGGCGCTGTACCGTGCAGCGTGCGCTCCACAATGCAGGGTCTTTCTGTACTGATGTCGTCCTTGTTCTTGTGATTTGTTGAAGGTCGTGTCCGCTGAAGTCGAGCAGCAGCTTTGCTGCATGGTGAAGCACAAAAGAAACACAGAGAACGCTCGATTTCCTTGCTTGCTGTTGATGCGTTGCTTGACGTGTCTTTTTGCTTCAGAGGCCGAAATCCGATAACGGGCCAGGCTCAGGAGTCGCGGGCTGTTGCATGCGCATTTGATCGCATGTGTGTGTGTGTGTGTGTGTGTGTGTGTGTTTGTGCCTCACATGTGCCGACTTCGAGCATCTCTTAGCTGCCACAGCGCATGCAGTGCAGGATGAGAACCGAACGCCTCGGCGGCCAACGGAGCATGTGCAAAAAGCAAGGTCGGACTATGTCGGGCTTCCTTGCTTTTTAATGTCTCCCTACAGCCCTGGTGCCGACTGAACCGCTTGCAGCGCAGGGAGAAGGCCGGCAAAGGCGTCAAGTCTTTGACCAACCACCATGATCTCGAAGCTGAGGCTCTGGCTATCTTTGTGTGTTGGTAGACCCAGAATGAAAGTCCCTGTCGAGACTACCCCGAACATCACCTGCAGCAGAACTCCCAAGTTCATCAGCAGGAAGCGCTGTCAGCTGTCAGGCTCGTCAATCGCGCGAAAGCCGCCTCAATGTCTCCTGACTTTGTTTTGTGGCAGAACTTCTTTCCTCGCTGTGTGAATGATGCTGCCCACACTGGAGTATCGCACACAATCACAGACTCGTGTTTCCAAGTGCTTCCTTGTATTTCCTTGTGCTTTAGAGCGTTGCTGGTCATCGGCCGTCATTAGCCTCCGCGAATGCTGCAAGCGACAAAGCTCACGACACCTTACGACACCCAGCTCCGCCCTTCTTGCCAGACGGACGCGCAGTTTGCCAGTCTCTGCAAAGCCGGAGCAGAACTTGGAGTTCGGAGGGCGGCAGAGGCGCGGCATGGCAAAAGCCGTTCGCGAATGACAGCAACGTTTTTGAGCAAACATTCAGACACAGCTCTGGAGGTGTCTAAGATCAAGGCCACACAGTTTAGAGGCCTCTCCGTCAATGTTGCAAATGCACTCAGGCTCGCACCTCAGTATGCCTCGCTGCTTGGGACCGTCATGCACGAGTTTTTGAGATTCTCATAGATTCTCATCTCAGCTCCTTGACAACTCGAGAGCACGTGGAATGACACCAAGGTGGGATGATTGATGCGAGCATCGCCGCAGATCCCCCGTACTGCGCAGCAAAGCTGCCTGCAGTTCCTCGTCGTTATCTTGATCAAGGCTGCAGCGTAGCCTTGCGAAAGGTTACAAACTAACGATATCAAGGGAGCAGCCTTTTTCAAGAAGGACACATTCGCCATGCCTCACCTCGACTTCAAGCACGATCTTTCAAGCACTGCCATTCGACATGGAGCTTAAGACCTTCAGTTGTTTTTCGAAAAAAGATCCTGCTGGCGTTGCTCTGTGATGGCCAAGCGGTGACCTGGCTAGGCATGACACCCTTCAGCCTTGTCATCGCTTGGCTGCCACGAAGCCTCAGCCCATGTTGGCAATGCCCCAAGATGCCTCATTCTGCCTCCATCCAACAAGAGTAAATGGCTTCGTGGCTGCTTGCTGCAAGTACTTCGTTTGAGCGCCTGCGAGCCTGACTGGGCAAAGAACAAGTGGGAGTTCATCGAAGTCCTTTTCCGCCACGATACCGCCAGACGTGTCAGGTGATTGCATCATGGCTGGACGAGCTCGAAAAGCGTTTGTGGCGAGAGGGAATGCAGTTTCTGCGTCTAGGAGTGTCTTTCTCCACTCCGAATGTGCCTCTTTTGCCAACGCATGCGCAACAGTGAAGCGCATCGCTCTGCTACACGGTTGCTCAGCCCCTTCCAGCCTTCCTTTCTTGACCTCGTGTACTCGTGCCCCATGCGTGCAGAGGCAAGGACTTTTCCTCCTCAAGTGATGGAGTAGCTCCTCAGCCAGCCCATGTGGCACGTCCTGAGCATCCAGCGGCCGCCGTGCCAGGTGACTTTGTGCACCATGTCCGAGATGGATATCTTGTGAAGGACGAACACTGTGCGGAGGGTGGAGTTGAGAGTCACCTCCATAAGAACCTTGAGGGCGGGACTTAAGGACTTCACCTTCGCCGTTCTCCTCGTGGCACTTCAGCAGGGAACTTGTCTTTCGCTCCCGGATTGAACTCGGTGTTTCCAGTTTCTGTCCTGGTACGCACAGGGGCAAACAAAGGACCGGAGAAGAGAGTCGGCCCCCAAGCTTCCATACTGCATTTTTCTTTTTGATCCATTGGCTGCAGGAATCTGTGAGAATCCTTCAGGCAATTCGCACAGGGCTGGCCTTTGGCCAAGCTTCGGTGGCCGCGTCCTACGCTCAGCAGCGGTAGCAGCCGGCTGGGAAAGTGCAGGTGCCTGAATAGAATAGACGGCCGTCGGTGCGCCAGATCTGGAGAGTCTCCCCCCCTGACTCCTTCCTCGCAGCATTCGGTGTTCTGGTGCTCATGGCGTCTCTTCGCCACGACTTCAAGGACGAACTGGTGGTGTCGAAGCTCGCTGCCAAGGCTGTGAGCATCGTGCTGGACCCTGTCGGGAAGATGGATGACAGGGGCCGATTCATCGGTCACAGCACTCACAACTTCTTTGTGCGCGACAAGAAGGGCAAAGAGAAGTGCTTGGTAACCGTCAGCCAGGACTCCGCAGTGGACATCAAAGGCTTGGGCCACATTCTGGGCTACAAGGAAGCCCGCCACTGCCAGGATTGCGAAAGCAAGCTAGGCTCGAAGAAGGGATGCGTCACGGCGCTGAGCTTGCTGTACGACGGGGACGGCATCGACTGGTGTGTGGACGAGAAGCTCCTTTCACTTGACACGTGGCGCATTGGCACCAGCGAGACGGGTGCGGAGCCTGGCTACGTTGCCGACGTGCCGCTCTCTGTTGTGGAGGGGTTGCTACGAGAGACCGGGCACTGGCAGTCGAAAAAGGTTCTTCCACATCTTTCACTGGCCGGCAATGGCAGCAACGGCGGCAACGGCGGCAATGGCAGCAAGGGCCATGGCTACACGGCGGCAGAGAAGGCGGAGAAACCGGAGAAGGTTGCCAAGGGCCCAACGAAGGGTGGCGGCGTAGATGTCAAGAAGGCCGAGGATGTGCCTGGGTGGTACGAGCAGGTCATGGAGAAGGCGGAGTTGATCGAGCATTACCCGTTAAGAGGTTGCTTCATTCTGCGGCCTTGGGCTTACAAGATCTGGGAGCAGATCCAGAGCTGGTTCGACTCTGAGATTAAGAAGTTGGACGTGGAGAACTGTTACTTCCCCATGTTCATCCCCAAGGCAGGGGCCTGATGCAGTAGGCAGCAACTAGCCGGGTAATAGCCGGGTCTTGCGCACGTGCAAGCCAGCCCTTCTTTGCGAGTGCACAGGTGTACCTGGAGCGGGAGAAGGAGCATTTGGAAGACTTCGCTCCGGAGATGGCCATGGTGACCAAGTTCGGCGACACGGACATCGAAGAGCCTGTGGCCATCCGTCCTACGAGCGAGACGGCCATGTACGCGGCGTATTCCAAATGGGTGCAGTCCCATCGCGACCTCCCAATCAAGTTGAACCAGTGGTGCTCAGTCGTCCGTTGGGAGGTGAAGCAGACAACGCCCTTCCTGCGCACACGCGAGTTCTTGTGGCAGGAGGGGCACACGGCCTACGCGGACAAGGAGTCCGCTGAAGCGGAGGTCCTGGAGATCCTCGAGCTTTATGCCCGGGTCTATGAGGAGCTGCTTGCCATCCCAGTGATCCGAGGCACCAAGACAAAGGCCGAAACATTTCCCGGCGCGGACTATACCACTACGGTGGAGGCTCTGATCCCGGCCACTGGGCGTGCTATTCAGGGGGCAACGTCGCACCATCTGGGCCAGCACTTCTCGAAACAGGAGATGTTCGACATCAAGTTCCAAGACCCCTCGGACCCCAGTGGCCAGAAGCTCAGCTACGCCTACCAGAACTCCTGGGGCCTCACTCAACGTACCATCGGTGTGATGACAATGGTGCATGGGGATGACCAGGGCTTGGTGCTGCCTCCAAAAGTGGCAGGCGTTCAAGTAATCATCGTCCCACTTGGCCTCAGATCAGGCATGCCTCCTCAGGATCGAGAGTCTTTGGTGGCAAAGCTTCAGGAGTACCGCAGGCGCTTGCAAGAGAAGGGCCTTCGGGTCAAGGTGGATGACTCGATGGAGAAGAACCCAGGTTGGAAGTTCAACCACTGGGAGATGAAGGGCGTGCCTCTTCGCCTCGAGCTTGGTGTCCGCGACCTGCAGAGTGGGAGCGTTGTCCTTGCGAAGAGGACGGATGGCCCGGATGGCGCCAAGACACAGTGCAAGGATGGCGAGCTTGAGCAGGCGGTGGAGAAAGCTTTGGAGGACATACACTCCCAGCTATATGACCGTGCGCTTGGCGAGCGAGACGCACGCCTGGCCTTCGTGGACGCATGGGAGAACTTCAGCCCGGAGCTGAACCAGGGAAAGCTTGTCTTGGTGCCCTTTTGTGGGGAGAAATCCTGTGAAGAGGACATCAAGGAGACCACCAAGAAGGAGGCTGCAGAAGAGGAGACGCTGGGCGGGCTGAAGATGGGGGCCAAAGGCCTTTGTGTGCCCCACGCGGACCGGTTCCACATGGGCTGCCCTTCTGTCTGCATCAAGTGCCAGAAGCCCGTAAAGGACTGCCTCATCTGCCTTTAAGCGATGTACTTTATGTTGCACCGCCCCTTGATCTGCTTGCGAGGACCTGCGAAGGACGCTGTTTGGGCGCAGCTACTGAGCCACCCACGCGCCTCTTGCCAGTTTTCTTCCTGGTGCCGCCTAGTAGTGCGCATTTCTTGAGAGCCACTGCCAGGATGCAGGATGTGTGTTGATGAGGCTTAGTCAGGGCAACAGCATAGCGTGTTGAAGGTTTTTGCTGCGTGTGGTTTTGACATCGGGGATTGCAGTTGGGCAGTGGCACGGGCTCCGATCCGATTGTTCAAGCGCACCGCAGCCGTTGCGCAGTGATTTGGGCGTTGTTGTCCACCGTCAGATTTTGGCAGTCTTGCGGGTTGTCAGCCGTGTGGAAGCGTGCGAAGTTAGCCAAAAGATTGCTATTCTGTCGGAGTGGGCTGCAGGCCTGGATCACATGGACGAGTGGACTCTGCCTCTACTCTGGTCTTGTGGCGATTTCTTTTTGAATCCGACGAACGAAGCACTTGCAGAAGAAAGAGTTTGCTGCTTATCAACAAGAAAAGAGAAGCAAGGTAGGGCCGAAGAGCTTCCGTCCTACCGGGGGGTACGTCGCGTTCCATGAGGAGTCGGGGGTTGTCCACCGTTCTCGCGTGCTTACTGCTCAGGTGGTGAGTGGACGGCAAGCAGACCTGCCCAGCTCCAGTCAGGCAGCCCACATTGTGCCATTCGCAGCACGTTTTGGTGCAACTGCAAGCCATAGAGGCCCCAATTAGAAAGCTATCAGCACTGAGCCTTCCAGCAAGGCTGTCGCTATGTTATGTGGCTGGGGCTGACTCTGGCTTCTGGTTTCGAAGGCTGCGTGACGCGGTGTCTCATGTGCTTGCCATTTGCACTTGCAGCTTTTTGGGTGTACCTGGGTTCCGGGTGCCTCCTGATTGTCGAGTTTCGGATGTGTTGCACGCAGCTGCAAATGGCCTTGCAGTGAATTGAACCGGCCTAGTTTGTGACCAGCGCGTTTCCCTTAGGCTAAGCCTGTGCCAGGTTCACAGACGTAAGCGGTCTGTGGCATTCTTCTGGGGGCCAAAATGAAGTAGCACAATGTCCAAAGCCCTAGCTTCGAGATGCAACGAAACCCCGGATCCGTCGGGTCACCCCGCGGAGATCTCTGGACGACATGCTGTGTCCAAAGCGAACATAGTTTCTTTGCCCAAACATACTGCAGGCCAACTGCCGTTCGATATTTTCAGATGCTTGTGTGGGCGGGGAGCGCTGGAGTTTTCAGAGGTCTGTGTGTGTGTGTGTGTGTGTGTGTGCAACTTGTTGTACATACAAGCATGGGTTCACACCCACTTGGGGACAGGGGGGGAGGGTGGGGAGCCCTGTCCAACGAAGCTCCCCCACCCTCCCCAGGCAAACGTACCTGCGTGCTTGCCCATGGATCCTCGCGAGGATAGCTTGGGGAGCATCATTTCATTTTCACGTTCATCTCATTTTCGTGCTGTGTCATTCCCGGTGTCTGGCACAGCAAAGGCCAAGACCCGCACCCTTACGCATCATCTTCATTCTGTTTTGCAGGTATGCTATTCCTGGTGTCTGGCGTGCCTTTGGAACCAAATTATGTTTCACCTTCATTGCCCGGTCTGTCAGGATGATGGTCTGTCACCTGTCCGTCCCAACAGACCAATACAAATCAACGTGTGTATGGTTCTGGCGTGTTGTCCCGTCACGGGGCCAGATCCCAGAAGATCCGGGCATCCGGGATTGACTGAGCTCTGCTGACTGAGATACTCATTCATCGGGATCATCTGCAGTAGGCTTTGTGTCATGAGTGAGTGCTAGCACAGACATGTCATCGGGATCATCCAAAGTGCAGACGCAGGGGTACCCGGACGGCGCTGCTGGGTGGTTTTTGTAATGCACCGTCAGCTGTGAACAGATAGTTTGACTGGGGCTGCATCAGGTACATTCACATGTCCTCCCTGCTAATGTTGGTAATGTGGTGTTGTTCTCCTCTTGTTGGTGTTGGTGGGCTTCCTCTGCACCTCTTGCAGTTGTTGTGCGTGTGCAACAGTTAGCATGTCTCTTCTGCTGTCTCCCTCTGGCTGCCCTGTCTCCTTTGTCTGGGTGATGCAGTGCCCGGGTGTCTCCTGGTGTTGGGTTGGTGTGGGCTTGACCACCTGCGTGAGCCTAAGTCTAGCTGAGTGTAGCTCAGAAGGAGTGAAAAGTTCTAGCTAAACGAAGAGGCCTTCGATATTCCTTTGATATGTTGCTTCAACTGCTTGGGGTCTTCGACGGTGTAGTTTGCATGGAAAGGCCGAAGTTTGCCACTGTGTCGGCGCGGCTCCCAGATCCTCCATGCCGACGTTGCGCATTGTGTTGCATGTACTCGTATAACCCGGCTGTGGCGAGAGTGCGTTCGTAGTCTTCATGAGCTTGAGGGTTCATTTCGTGAATGCTCATTGCTTCCGCTTGGTTTCAACAGCCTCAAACGGATACGAGACCTAAGTGAGACTTGAAAGGGTAGGTGGCTTCATTGCACTGCCCTTCTCTTCATGACATCGGCAAGTGCGCTGAGGGCGTGGTGCCATCTGCAAGCGGCGTGCATGAAGGGCACGGCGAGACACTTCATGTCGTGGAAACCCAACCTTCGCGAGCAGCTCAATGTTCATGGGTTTGTGGTTGTAAGAGGAGTCTTGGCGCAGAAAAAGATCAATGCGGCGCTGAAGGAAGTCCGGGAGTTCTTCAAAAGCCATGACTTGACATGGAGGCGGCGCCTTTGGGAAAGGAACGAGGTGGGTGGAATGATGGCCCTGAAAGCTGCGGACTTGAACGAGTCTGATGGTGAAGGGGATTCGACGGAGTACGTGAAGCTCAACAAAGTCCTGTTGGATCTTCACACACGCGTTGACAGCACGGATATGGATGACGTCTACAACATCACCCTGCCCCCAAACGTGGATTCCATTGCACAGCAGATGGTCATGAACACTTCCCTGCCGGTCTTTGATATCCTGACTGACGCTGCGCTGTTGGATTGCGTCCGGCACGCCTTGGGCATGGATGACATCAGTGAAATCGACACTGTCCCCATTCAACAATTTCGAATGAAGCCTCCCGTTAATTTGCTCTGGACAAGTCGGCCCCTCCATGCGAGCACAGGTACGACTGGCTGGCATCAAGACCGCTTCTCCTACCATCCTGGGGCAGATGCTGTGGAGGTCTTTACCTGTTGGACGTCTCTTGTGGATGTGAACATAGAAATGGGCCCCCTGCAGGTCCTCCCAGGATCTCACACACTGGAGTTGCAAAACCACATTCCAGAACCTGAACACCCCGATGAGTGCTCGATTCCTCTATCCGTGGTCCAGGGCTTGACGGAGAAGTACGGCATGAAGGTGGAGACCTTGACCGTTAATGCTGGTGACCTGGTCTTGCTCGATCCTTTACTCATGCACTGCTCTCTGCCGAATGTATCCGGGAGGTGCAGGATCTCCATGGACAGTCGCTACTGTGCTGCGGGCCAGGCATCTGCCAGACCCTGGTTCCCCAGCTTCAACGTGTCCACAGTGACCCACAAGCAATACGCTGCTAGCTGGTCGCAGGCGCAACAAGATCTTCTGAAGAATGAACCTGGCAAGCGCTTGCCACAAATCAACCGCTTCCAGACTCCAAAAGTGCCGAAAACATCCCAAGGCCCCAGACAACTCTCAGAAGTTCACGCAAGTCACCTGCAGAGCAATTGTGCGCAGACTCGAACGCAGATCAAGCTTTATCTGAATCGGCGTGAGTCATGTGAATAGTCATCCGAGTCATGCGTGGACTTTGGGATTGAGGCAACAATAGGCAAAATGCCACGTAGTGATGTAGTGCTAGCTTGAAGAGATAGTCTGTGACACACCTGCTGATTTCTGGCCGCTTGCGCACCGCAGCCGTTGCGCTTGACTGGGTTGCGGACGTCCTTGCACGGACGGAGCGGCAGCGCTAACAGCTAACCGCTAACCGAAATATGATATTGCTAGGTGCTGCTCTTGACCATCAAGGAAGGAAGTGGCCCAGTCAGCGGTTGGTTTTGTAGGCAGTTTTTGGACACAAGAGCACGTAGCACGTGTGGCACGTGGAGAAGAGGCCTGATGCGATGTCACAGATGCAGTCCTGTCATGTGAAGAGTTTTTGTCGGTTCTGGCTTGACCAGCGTCGCAAGCTTTGCGCAGTCCATGATGCATTCGGAGAGCTGATCCTGAGCGGACAGATGCATGCTTGAGTCAGTAGTTGCTGTGTTGTCGGCCGTCGGTGTGCCAGATCTGGAGAGTCTCCCCCCCTGACTCCTTCCTCGCAGCATTCGGTGTTCTGGTGCTCATGGCGTCTCTTCGCCACGGCTTCAAGGACGAACTGGTGGTGTCGAAGCTCGCTGCCAAGGCTGTGAGCATCGTGCTGGACCCCGTCGGGAAGATGGATGACAGGGGCCGATTCATCGGTCACAGCACTCACAACTTCTTTGTGCGCGACAAGAAGGGCAAAGAGAAGTGCTTGGTAACCGTCAGCCAGGACTCCGCAGTGGACATCAAAGGCTTGGGCCACATTCTGGGCTACAAGGAAGCCCGCCACTGCCAGGATTGCGAAAGCAAGCTAGGCTCGAAGAAGGGATGCGTCACGGCGCTGAGCTTGCTGTACGACGGGGACGGCATCGACTGGTGTGTGGACGAGAAGCTCCTTTCACTTGACACGTGGCGCATTGGCACCAGCGAGACGGGTGCGGAGCCTGGCTACGTTGCCGACGTGCCGCTCTCTGTTGTGGAGGGGTTGCTACGAGAGACCGGGCACTGGCAGTCGAAAAAGGTTCTTCCACATCTTTCACTGGCCGGCAATGGCAGCAACGGCGGCAACGGCGGCAATGGCAGCAAGGGCCATGGCTACACGGCGGCAGAGAAGGCGGAGAAACCGGAGAAGGTTGCCAAGGGCCCAACGAAGGGTGGCGGCGTAGATGTCAAGAAGGCCGAGGATGTGCCTGGGTGGTACGAGCAGGTCATGGAGAAGGCGGAGTTGATCGAGCATTACCCGTTAAGAGGTTGCTTCATTCTGCGGCCTTGGGCTTACAAGATCTGGGAGCAGATCCAGAGCTGGTTCGACTCTGAGATTAAGAAGTTGGACGTGGAGAACTGTTACTTCCCCATGTTCATCCCCAAGGCAGGGGCCTGATGCAGTAGGCAGCAACTAGCCGGGTAATAGCCGGGTCTTGCGCACGTGCAAGCCAGCCCTTCTTTGCGAGTGCACAGGTGTACCTGGAGCGGGAGAAGGAGCATTTGGAAGACTTCGCTCCGGAGATGGCCATGGTGACCAAGTTCGGCGACACGGACATCGAAGAGCCTGTGGCCATCCGTCCTACGAGCGAGACGGCCATGTACGCGGCGTATTCCAAATGGGTGCAGTCCCATCGCGACCTCCCAATCAAGTTGAACCAGTGGTGCTCAGTCGTCCGTTGGGAGGTGAAGCAGACAACGCCCTTCCTGCGCACACGCGAGTTCTTGTGGCAGGAGGGGCACACGGCCTACGCGGACAAGGAGTCCGCTGAAGCGGAGGTCCTGGAGATCCTCGAGCTTTATGCCCGGGTCTATGAGGAGCTGCTTGCCATCCCAGTGATCCGAGGCACCAAGACAAAGGCCGAAACATTTCCCGGCGCGGACTATACCACTACGGTGGAGGCTCTGATCCCGGCCACTGGGCGTGCTATTCAGGGGGCAACGTCGCACCATCTGGGCCAGCACTTCTCGAAACAGGAGATGTTCGACATCAAGTTCCAAGACCCCTCGGACCCCAGTGGCCAGAAGCTCAGCTACGCCTACCAGAACTCCTGGGGCCTCACTCAACGTACCATCGGTGTGATGACAATGGTGCATGGGGATGACCAGGGCTTGGTGCTGCCTCCAAAAGTGGCAGGCGTTCAAGTAATCATCGTCCCACTTGGCCTCAGATCAGGCATGCCTCCTCAGGATCGAGAGTCTTTGGTGGCAAAGCTTCAGGAGTACCGCAGGCGCTTGCAAGAGAAGGGCCTTCGGGTCAAGGTGGATGACTCGATGGAGAAGAACCCAGGTTGGAAGTTCAACCACTGGGAGATGAAGGGCGTGCCTCTTCGCCTCGAGCTTGGTGTCCGCGACCTGCAGAGTGGGAGCGTTGTCCTTGCGAAGAGGACGGATGGCCCGGATGGCGCCAAGACACAGTGCAAGGATGGCGAGCTTGAGCAGGCGGTGGAGAAAGCTTTGGAGGACATACACTCCCAGCTATATGACCGTGCGCTTGGCGAGCGAGACGCACGCCTGGCCTTCGTGGACGCATGGGAGAACTTCAGCCCGGAGCTGAACCAGGGAAAGCTTGTCTTGGTGCCCTTTTGTGGGGAGAAATCCTGTGAAGAGGACATCAAGGAGACCACCAAGAAGGAGGCTGCAGAAGAGGAGACGCTGGGCGGGCTGAAGATGGGGGCCAAAGGCCTTTGTGTGCCCCACGCGGACCGGTTCCACATGGGCTGCCCTTCTGTCTGCATCAAGTGCCAGAAGCCCGTAAAGGACTGCCTCATCTGCCTTTAAGCGATGTACTTTATGTTGCACCGCCCCTTGATCTGCTTGCGAGGACCTGCGAAGGACGCTGTTTGGGCGCAGCTACTGAGCCACCCACGCGCCTCTTGCCAGTTTTCTTCCTGGTGCCGCCTAGTAGTGCGCATTTCTTGAGAGCCACTGCCAGGATGCAGGATGTGTGTTGATGAGGCTTAGTCAGGGCAACAGCATAGCGTGTTGAAGGTTTTTGCTGCGTGTGGTTTTGACATCGGGGATTGCAGTTGGGCAGTGGCACGGGCTCCGATCCGATTGTTCAAGCGCACCGCAGCCGTTGCGCAGTGATTTGGGCGTTGTTGTCCACCGTCAGATTTTGGCAGTCTTGCGGGTTGTCAGCAGTTTTCAGCCGTGTGGAAGCGTGCGAAGTTAGCCAAAAGATTGCCATGCTGTCGGAGTGGGCTGCAGGCCTGGATCACATGGACGAGTGGACTCTGCCTCTACTCTGGTCTTGTGGCGATTTCTTTTTGAATCCGACGAACGAAGCACTTGCAGAAGAAAGAGTTTGCTGCTTATCAACCAGAAAAAAGAAGCAAGGTAGGGCCGAAGCACTTCCGTCCTGGCGGGGGGCACGTCGCGTTCCATGAGGAGTCGGGGTTGTCCACCGTTCTCGCATGCTTACTGCTCAGGTGGCGAGTGGATGTGCAAGGAGGCATCGATGGTCGCGGCACTCGCCTCGTGCCTCGAGGACGGGTAGCGCAAGCTGGTTGGGCTGATAGACGCTGAGAGGGCACCTAGAGTGTGAGGGCAGCATTGACTCGATCATTCTCCGGAGCTGACCGGCCTTTTCGGCAAGCATGGAAAAGCGATGATTCATGTGTGCATGTGGTTCAGAGCAACAGCGCTGTGCATTTGTACAAATTTGAACCTCTCATGTGGGGGGCCCGACCTGTTTACAAAGATCCGTCTCTATGCCTGTCGGATGAAGACCTGCGGTACTGGAAAGAGCACAGGTTAGACGAGGCAATTCGCCAGATTACGCGCGACAAGCCAAGCAATCCCTTGGAGGTCCTGCAGATGTACCTGCAGGACCACGAACGTCCTTGCGGGTCGCCAAAAGCAGTGCTGCAGACCGGATTCCGGGACAACTTTGTGGTTTCCAAGCTCAATTCCAGGGGGGTGCGGATTGTGAAGGACCCTATCAGTGTCCACACCACACGGAATGTTTTCATCCAAGATAAGATGGTCAAGCAAAAGATGTGCTTGGTCACAGTTTGTCAAGATGCCCTCGTGGACATCAACGTGCTCGGGCAGCTGCTGGGTTATACGGAACCAGTTCCCTGCCAAGACTACGAAGGCAAGCTCGGATCAAAGAAAGGCAGCGTTAGTGTTCTCAGTCTCCTGTATGACGGGGGCAGCGTCCGGTGGTGTGTTGACGAGAGACTTCTTGCCCTACCCGAGTGGCGTATTGGCATTTCCCCCAAGACCAATGGCGTGGGCTATGTTGCCGATGTTCCTTTACAGTTTTTGAAGGAGCTATTGCAGGAAACAGGCCACTGGACCAGTATGCAGGTGATCTCTGTGGACTAAGATATGAATCCTGCACCATGCCTGAACAGTTTTAGAAGAAGGTGCGAGGTTTTCTTTCGTTGTGTGTAGGGGCAGATGGACCAACTCTATAGCTGAGCGACTCAGGCAGACACGGGGCATGTCTGCAACGGAATCTTATCCAGGACACTTGCTGCGCGATTCGGTGAGCATGTTGAAGTTGACGGGTTATGCTCTCAAAAGCACTGTGCACTGAGCAGGACAATCTACCTCTGGTCGCAGGATTTGCTGTGACTCTAACTGGCGCAAGTGTGTGTGTGTGTGTGCGCATCCGATGAGCAGGTATTGATCTTCTGCAAGCTGAACTGTCGTAAGAATATCCTCGCATGCTGTTGCTACCCGTAGCTGTGTGGACATTGGCGCGCACTCTTCTTCCTTTAATGGGCACAGATCCGACGAGCCAACCTGCGCTCTGCCGGACACTGCAGCTCAATTACTTCTAGCCAGTGAGGTTTCTGGAGTTGTTTACGGTCATGATGTCCCAGCTTATGCAGGAGAAAGGAGCGAGCTCTCTAGGCACATTTTTGCATGAGCCATGTTGTGGTGCATGAGCCCATTGCTTGTTGGAGGAGAGACAACTATTTGCGCCTCAGAACCCCCCCAAAAAACGTGATGCGCATGTCAGTCAGTCGGATGCTGTCCTTTTTGCGTGAAGCTTCCACGCCTGAGAGGAGCACATACCAGAAGGTGTTGCCAGGCGAGCTACAGAACTGCCGCCGTGTGGCTTCCTGTGGCCAACCTCACCTTGATAAAGATGTTATTCTAATTCATGGGCCTACGTGAGCTTACAGGTTGGCTTGTTCATTCAGTCCCGGCACCACGCATCGCCACGCTCAGAAGTTGGCGTGGCGGCATGTCACCGGTGGCGCCCGGAATCAAACCCATACTTTTGAGGATTGGCGTCAGAACCGCATAAAAAAAGCATGCCCGAAATGAATCCTTCCCCATAATACGCATTTGGAGGGCCTCCGGCGGCGGTGGTTTGGTTGGACTCGGCGGGTGCTTTAGTTCAATCATGTTCAATCCAATGTATGGATCTTAGCCCTCCAAACCAGGGCAGGGTGGTCGACGTGTGGGGCGGGGTGGTGGAGGCGGTGTGGGTGAACAGGCTCGCAGCAGCCTACGCAAGACCCGTAGAAACGGGGCAAGCGCTGCTGCAGGTTTTTAGGCTTTGAGAAACCGATGTCTATTTGCCTAGGGCAAACACAGTTTAGAGTGTGTACGTCAGAAAAGAGTCGGTGCTGTCGGCTTCTTGAGCTCTTGGCAGTTTCGCAAGGGAAAACGTCGTGCCGTGAGCAGAAGTCCCCTCAGACCCTGCGTGACCTGTCCGAACGCATATGGATCCGGTTTGGAGCCCTCGAAACGCTTACGCTGCTCTTTACACGCCACCTTGGGGGCTGCACACCCCTTTACCCCCCTCAGCTCTTGCATGTTGCATCAAGATCTTTTTACAAGGGCAGAGTTTGCATGCTCCCGCGAACCCACCCACTTGTGCAGGTATCATGCATCCATTCCGAACCCCACATGCGATCAATGTGTTTGCCGTTGGGGTGGCTAACAGTTCTTGAAGGTGTAGAATGCCCGGATACGCTTGAATCTGTACAAGCTGAATCCGTGCTGCTTAGAACTGGAAACAAAGGACCGAGCCAACAGCAAGAACAACAACAACAACAACAACAACAACAACAACAACAACAACAACAACAACAACAACAACAACAACAACAACAACAACAACAACAACAACAACAGCAACAGCAACAGCAACAGCAACAACAACAACAACAACAACAACAACAACAACAACAACAACAACAACAACAACAACAAACACAAATAGAACAAACATAGAGAAGATGTGGTGAAGGGAGAGGAAAAATTGCAGCACTACAAAGTGTAGAGGCGAGGGTGCCGCAGCGGTGGGGGGGGGGGGGTCGGTTGGGGGTGCGGGGGGTGGGGGGGGGTGGGCGATTGCAGATAACCATGGTCAACTCAGGCTGGCAAGTTCTGGTCAAAAAGGGCTTGCTGTTGGCATGCACTTGGCACACACACACTCTGGAAGTGAATATGTCTGCGAAGACCCCGAACAGAGTTGAGCGGAATCGGGTTCGTCTATCGTAACTTGGAGGAGATTGAATGATTGAATGCTCCACGAGGACTCAGGTGGGCATGAACTTCGGTAGATCCCAAAGTTCAAGACTCCCTCGGGCCATCTGCAGTCAGTAGCAGCGAGGTCATCTCATGAGCCAACCCGCAGTTCACATGCGGCTACGCTTGAGTATTCAGCACTCGCTTGAGAACATTTAGCTGCTCTAATGTGTTTGCATGTGCTGATGCCGTTTGCAACTGTTTGCTCAAGAGAATCTGGGCCTTGGGTGCCGGATCCTTGTCTTGTATTGAGCTGAATCATGGAAGGTGCCAGCTGTTTCTTGTTGGCAATCAAGGTTTCTTATCTTCCAAAATTTGTTTGTAATGATTTGGCGGAAAGCTTTCGTATCATGTTGTAACTCGTTGTCGCACCCTTTTAGGCGCAGGGCTTGATGTACTGGCAATGCTTGGCAAGGTTCCTCGTCATCGGCTTCCAGGTTGGCATTTTCATGACGCAAGATCGTTTGAATTGTGAGTTGATGATGCGAGCAAGCCAAGAAAAGCCAAGCTTCGCATGTTCGGCACCAGGTTACCCAATGCCTATTCACACTTGCCGAAATGGCAAACAGCTTTCTTTAGGCCTGTCACGCGCATTTCGTAGGCCAGCAACAGGTTCGTCGCCAAGTCTGAACCTGAAAAATCAGACTTTGTACCAAGCATCACCTTCAAAGGATGTGATGGAAGTTCCGAGGTGTGCCGCGACAGACGCGTGCAAACCCCATATTATCGGAGCAGCAGGTCGATCTTCTGAAGCAGGAGGGAGCGTCGACGAGCGCACATTTGCCATCATGTGTCGAGTATTGTCGAGTCGCGTCTAGCTGCGAGATCAGGCTTGTGCAGTGCGCATAGTACACGTAGCACGACGAAGATAGAGGGCACTTTTGCTCGCCAGCCCTGCTGATGTTGCGCTTGCAGGATCCTTGGCTCAACGAGGCCACAGTTCAGAAGTTTGGTGAGCAGAGTGCCAACAGCTCATGTCAAGACGATGGTGTCGCAAAAGTACTCCTGTGTTCCCGCATTTTTTGCTTAAGTTAAGCATCTGTTAACCCAATGAGGACGAGGGACACATTTAAAAAACACACACAGCTGCCTCATACTTGGCATTTTGGGCAGGATCCGGTCGGCAGTGTTATTGAGTCGAAGTCAGTCCATCCCGATGACATGATTCTGTGCCAAGACCCCAGGCAGCTTGACGCTGCAGCGCTGCATTCTTCTTCATTTTTGGTGCGAGGCAGCTTGTTTCCCAGCATTGCCCACCGACTCTGCAACACTTCGGCAAAAGCACCGGCATGAGCTTGACCCCGTCCGTGATTGTCTCAAAGCAGCCGCATGCACACATGCATGAACGCAAGCATACGCAAGCACACATGCAGTCTAACAGCTGGAGCATCACAAGACCAGGCAGGATTATGGAACGACGTGACTTGAACGTTGCTGCGGCTGCTCGTGTGCTTTCAGAAGCTTTCTCCTCGTGATGTCTGTTACACCTTGCTGCATGTTCTAGGTTGTTTTGCGCGCTTCAAAACCGGCAGAGGTGCCTAGCTGGTACTCTCGGAGGGTTTTTAGTTCGCTCTGTGTAAATACACATCGATCGGTGTCCACTCAGAGGGTCTTCCTCCCAGCATCTGGCAAGCCAACTTTCAAACCCCCCTGAGACAACAAGTTATGTGTTGTTCGCATCCGCCAGCCAAAGCTCTACCAAGTCATATATCATATATCTAACATTGCTTCGCTTGTTGAAACATGCGCAGTTCGCAACTTGTCTGGCTTATGGAAGAAGCGTTAATTTTCAAACAACGCTGTTTCACAACTAGCTAAAGACGCAGATTCCTTGTCCAAACTATCTTTAAACTGCTTTTGTCGGTGGTTGGGTTTCATAGTTCAATAGTAAGATGAAGCGCTGAATGTTTGCTTTTTGCTTCTGGGAGTACATTGTTGCATGGAAACCTCCCTGGTGGTCGAATGTTGCTTCTTGCTTACGTCTGACAGACGCACGGGCTCGGAGAGGCCAAGTTTGAGGGTCCCAGGTTGCTTACCCTGGATTACGGCTGAATTGAAAAGAGGCAAGGGTTTTCTCACAGGGGTCGGGGCTGAAGCTGATGGGTTTGGCGCCCAGGCCAGATTGAGGGCGCAGGGTTTGTGAGATGAAAGCATTCAAGGCTTTGTGGCGTCAAGGTCTGCTCCGCTGGTTCGGGTTGTCACGAAAAAAATCGAGTGCCCAAATGCCTGTGTAAACTGTGCCGAAAACAGCAGCGTCTGCAAGGTTGGATGGATTTGGTGGATTTCGAGCCCTTTAATGGTTGATAGCGAAATGGCGTGCAGACTTCGACGTGTACTGTATTTTCCTCACTTGTGTGTAAGTCTGTTATTGAGCGTCTGGGGTGTGATGTGTGTTTTCACGCCCCGATGTGTGTTACGTGCTAACGTTGCCTTCTGTACTTTGTACTCCAAGAATCCAGACGACTACCCTCGATGTGCCTGAGCTGCCGAGGCCATCTGTTCTGCGCATGCTTCGATCGCAAGTGCCAGCCTCAGGATGAGGCCCAAGTAGATGGTCACGACCAGACCAACAAAAGGCCCAAACGCCAAACTCGAAGTCCATTCCCGAAGGGTCACCAGGGCCAGCCAGTACTGTACGTGATCCCCATATTTTGTTGGCACACCCTCGATGTTCCAGATGATGCAAAGACAAATGAACTGCTTGGAGCATGCAAGACTGGATCACCGTGGCCTCTGAATGTTTCGGAAAGCAGCTGTTATCAGAGATGGGTGTTGAACAGCTACGACAGCTCTTGCAACAGCCTCAGCCTTCAACAGCAAGCACCTTGTGCAAACTTCGAGGCATGTTCGTACCCCAGTCACCTGCCTCGCTGCGGCGTGTGCTATCTCAGAAACATGTGTGGACTTCGGTAGAGTTGCTGGGCAAAGTCCCGGCCATTCAGCATGGAGGCTGCTGACGAAGGCACTCGTAATTGTCGTAACTTCGTTTTGCTGGCAGCTCGTTGGCGAGCTGAATTCTGTTTGTCTCCAGGTGATGGCTTGAGATCTGCGCCTGCAGCTTACAGTAATCACAGTCCATTGGCCTCCTTAACCCCTCGTAAAATTGCGTGGTTCAACCTGAGAACCGAAGCCATCGAAGCCGAGCTGGGCCAATTTGTAGGTGAGGTAAAGCGTTTGCAGGCTGTCAGACCTCCTTTCATCTCTCCTGAAAGCACCGGAAGATCCGAAAACAAGCGTTAAAGCCTGAGAAGGTCGTCGAGCCCTGTTGTGCGCAGCCAGCGCAGACCTGAGAATGTTTCAATGTTTCAAACGTGGCTTGGCATAGAATCCTTTTGAACTTGCAGGTCTGGGAACCTCAGCGTTTGGAAGTTACCCAGCATCAAACAGAAGCTGAAGGCTCCCCCCCACTTCCCAGCATGAGTCCCCACTATGTGAACCCGTTTCGTGCCAGGATCACCTCATTACTGCGCAGGAAGCCCTGCTGCAACAGAGCCAGGAGCAGCAGTAGTGGTCGGGTCGTATGCAGTGTCGGCCCGTGTCTATGTCTTGGGAGACGTTGGGAGAAGTCTCCAGGAGCGGCACGAGATATACAGTGCCACCAACTCAAGCAAGAAGGACACTAAGGACACCAAGGCCGAACCCAAAGCTTGTGTCAATAGCTGTCATTTGAATGTCATTCGGTCATTTAACGGCTCAGTGGCATCTTAGGGCTTTTACATTCTCTACGTCGATTTCGAACCTTACAACGTTGAGAGCGCCAGGCACCCACCTTGCCACTTCCGCAAAGTTCGGAGCCATGGCCTCTGTCTTCGGTGTGTGCCACTTAGCTCTGTGTGTAAAAACCGGGTAGCTGCAAGACTGTGTAAGTCTGCAACAGTTGCGACTGCACAAGGTCTGTCCTTTCTTTAGAGCGTTGTTGTGGCATTCTCCATATGACCCGTCGAACAACTGATTCTGCAGGAGGGCTGTGTCACGTAGGGCCTCTTCGATTCTTCAAGTGCAGGACTGCAGTTCGCCGGCGTACAACTTTGCTGTAGCTTGGTGCTTCCATTTTAAGACTTACGAATTTTTATGCAAATCAGGTCAAATGAGCTTCGGCTTTGATCACAGGTGCGAAAAGAGATGGGACTCAGGTCATCACAATAGTCGCAGCTTCGGCTAGGATCAGAGGTGGTACGGCTTAGGATCAAGATTTAAGGCCCACCCTTTGATGATCTGATCAAATCCTCAATGGCGCTCCATCTGCGCGATCCGACTCGGGCGATCGTGTTTCTTTCATCCATTGCCGCAATAGCCGACCCGAGTACTGCAAGCAGACGCCCGACACGCATCAATACTTTGTCATTCCTCTGTTGCAGTGCCATGCTCGAGTCCGTGAGTGCATTTGGCAGCAACTCGCACATGCCTATCTGGGCAAGGCTTAGTAGCTAGCATGTACGCTACCAACAAGCAGCCACAATTCTGCACTGTGGTCTACGACGGTGTATTTACAAAACTGCTTGGCTTGCATCTTGCTCAAGTTTGAGCAGTCTCTGTTGAACACATGCACTAGCCCTTTGGGAGAAATAACGTGCAAAATGCTAAACCGGCAGCATCTGTCATACTGACCTTGGTACGAGGTCGCTTCCTTTATCAACCATTGTTTGTGTTGAGAGAAATTATGCAAACGGTGGGTATTGCTGCATGGCTTGTTTCTTCGTGCTGCATGTGTGAGCGGAGCTGCGCCCGGTTTGTTATCTCAAAGTTGGTACGCATGTATTGTCGAACTTCTTCAAACCTTGTGAGTGCCCCTTGTCAGCAGGATATGGCTGCAGAGAAAAGAGAAGTGTGCAGCCCGGACAAGTCAGCTGCGCTCAGGGGTTATTCAAGTTATTCCAGATGCAGAGTTTTGAAATGCCTCCCTTTCTTGTTGCTCAGGCCCTGGAGCCGCTTTGGCCGAAGAGATGGCACGAACCCTCAGGTGGTGTGGCAGAAAGCTCGTGTTCTTTTTGCAGGCTTAGTCAGGCTTTAAATTTGTTTGCCCTGAATGGTCTCATGTTTCTGTTTACTTGATGGCTTCATGGAATCTTTTGGATGAGTCTCGAACGGTGGTTAAGTACAAAAAAACCCACGCTGGCAGACAAGAATCTCTCGTCTACCTCGCCATCGCAGCTGGGAGCTTGGATTCGGCCAAGTCGTTGTGCCCCGAACGACCTACAGAAACGGTGCAGCCAAGTTGTGAAGCGCGTGATCTGCAGTCCTTCGTCGGTTTTGACGTCTTGGGTGCGTAGTTGTGGGTACATGGGTCGTCTTGACACGCGCTACCAGTGGTTGTGCGCCCGGGCGCTTGTGTTTGTCTCTGTCTGTGTGTGTGTCTCTGTGTGTGTGTGTGTGTGTGTGTGTGTGTGTGTCTGTGTCTTTCTGTGTCTGTCTGCGTCTGTCTGTGTCCGTCTGTGTCTGTCTGTCTCTGTCTGTTTGTGTTTGTCTGTCCGCGTCTGTCTGTCTGTCTGTCTGTCTGTCTGTCTGTCTGTCTGTCTGTCTGTCTGTGTCTGCCTGTCCATCCGTCCATCTGTGGTCTGGGTCCGTCCGTCCGTCTTTCTGTCTGTGTCTCTGTGTGTGTGTGTGCGCGTGTGTGTGTGGGGTCGTGTCGGTGGTGATTGCTGGCTATGTGCTGGTGGAATTGACGGTGGTGTTAGCGTTCTCTTCTATGTCTTTGTCTTTGGGTCCTTGTCTATTTGTCATCATCGTCTGTCGGTGCGTTGCTGTTTGGGGTTGGCACTGGAAGCCTTTCGGCAAGAGGTGGTCGTTTTATTTCTATTTTTTGCAGGTAGCGCCGTTAGCGGGGTGGGGGGGTTTTTCTTCCGGGAGTATGAGGGGGGGGGGGGGGGGGGGTTGTCCCTTTTTCCGGTAGTATTAATGTGGTTTTGGGGGGGGGGGGGGTTGAGTTATGATTCTTCCCCGTCTTCATATTGAGGGGGTGGGTAGGGGTCTTTTCAATTTCGCTGTAGTTATTTATGAGACAGGTTTGGGGTGGGGTGGTGGTCTTCCGGGAGTAAATAGGGGGGGGGGCGGGGGGGGGTGGGGGGGCGTTAGGGGGGGGCGGGGGGGGGGGGGGGGGGGGCGGGAGGGGGGGGGGGGTGGGGGGAGGGGGGGGGGGGGGGGGGGGGGGGGGTCTTTGGGGGGGGGGGTCCCCGGTCTTCTTTCTTTCCCCCCCCCCCACACCCAACCCACCGTAGTCATAGTAGTAGGTAGTATTAGTAGGATAGTACAATAGTAGTAGTAGTAGTAGTAGTAGTAGTAGTAGTAGTAGTAGTAGTAGTAGTAGTAGTAGTATTATAGTAGTAGTAGTAGTAGTAGTAGTAGTAGTAGTAGTAGTAGTAGTAGTAGTAGTAGTAGTAGTAGTAGTAGTAGTAGTAGTAGGAGTAGTAGTAGTAGTAGTAAAGTAGTAGTAGTAGTAGTAGTAGTAGTAGTAGTAGTAGTCGTTAGTAGTAGTAGTAGTAGTAGTAGTAGTAGTAGTAGTAGTAGTAGTAGTAGTAGTAGTAGTAGTAGTAGTAGTAGTAGTAGTAGTAGTAGTAGTAGTCGATCAAAAAGCGGGGGGGGTTGGGGGGGCGCAGCCCCCCCCATTTGCTCAGATTGCCCTATGGTCCTACACTGTCGGTCTGCTGGGATAGAATGAGTAGAGAAGTAGAGAATTTGTCTAAATTCCACCCCCCTCGTTTCTTGTTTTTGTTTCTTGTACTCATTCTTCGAAAATTAGAGAAGTAGAGAATTGATAGAGAATTAGAGTACAATCCAAATGAGAACAAAATCCTTTCTGACATAGTCAAAGAGCGGGGGGGTTATGAGGGGGGGTTTGTCTTTCGGGAGAATTTGGGGGGGGGGGGGGGGGGGGGTCAGTCCTTCAGGGAGTATGAGAGGGGGGGTTGGGTTAGGGAGTATGAGGGTGGGGGGGGGGGGCGGTTTGTAATCTTTCCCCCCCCCCCCCCCACGCCACCCCCCACCCCCCCCCTATAATCCGGGAAACTAAACCCCCCCCCCCCCCTTATCCTCCATGGAGGACTAACCCCCCCACCCCGTGCCTAACGGCGCGGTCTCATTTTTTGCGATGCTTTGCTGGTGCTGTGGTGGTGCTGGTCATGGCAAGGCCTCAGGAGGATGTGTCTCCTGAGTCAGGCCAGATGGAGCTGCCCCATGAAATCTGAATTGAACACAGCCTTGTGTGTGCAGGCTTGAGCAGTGGACGAGTGATCTTCTGAGAGGGTCATGTGTGGTGTTGTGCTGTTGCAACTGTCTAGCTGCCTGTCATCCCGTTTGCAAGGCTCGTGCCAACACTTTGGATAACCTCACACCGTCAGAGACTCGCTATTTTTTCACTGGATCAGGTCTATGTGCCACGAGGTGCTACGCATCGGTTGTGCGTTTTCCTCTGTTGTCAAACTGAGCGCTGCTCAGGACCGTTGCAGAAAACATGAGGACTGTGCGACCCTCAGACCCCCAAGGTTCCTAGGGGCCTCAGTCCGCAAGCCTGAATTCTAAGGGTAGTTACACGGGCCCTTAATATGGTCCCTTACCTTCTTTAATGGATTCTGAAGTATAGGCCCTTGGGTTGTCTAGGGTATAAGGGGTCCCCACTGAAGGGCCCATACTACGAGACCGTGTAGCTGCCTTCAAGGCAGGCTTCATCTTCATCTTTGCATTCTTCGCCAGCTTTAGGGTTACATAGACTTGAATGCAGTTGTCCATATGCCAAGCACAAAGCCCAGTATGTTGACTCTGAATGTGCAGCATGCCGGTTCGTTTTCAAAGAAGGGCTGCGTGTACGGGGTTTTCGGAGCTGACGGCAGTTGACATGAAAGCGTTCCAGTTCTTGCGTGCGACTGCAGGCATTTGCGGTAGCCAGCGTCCACAAGCGCTCGAACTTAACTGCGAATGTTGCGGTGCAACTGTAGTGGGAAACATGCGAGGGGTGCATCGGTGCATCTGTGTTGGAGCCAGCTCTCTGACATGCTCATACTCTTGTTGAGTCAACCCGCTGAGCAGTTGAACAATGCTCTCGGCTTGAGCGGCCGGCTGGCGGGTCATTGTTCGGATAGCAAGATAAAGGTTTGTGTGGAGTCCTTGTGGGTGTTGCTTTCTAGCAGAACTGTTGCTTTCTAGCACGACTTCGCACCCTTCAGTGACCTTTGAGTGCTATCAGGTCTTCTCTGATTTCCGCAAGGCATGGAGACACCAGCGTTGCATGTTTACTCAGCTTTGCAGTCAACGCAGGCGTATGCTTACATGGGCATCGATTGGTACACGGCGATCTGCCTGCAATCTGAGCGCTGGTTGCAGTGCTGTGTCAGCAAAGCAGCATCTTCAGTTCCCGAAGAGTCAGGTCCAAAAGAAGAGGCAAAACTTTTCGCTGCTCTTCTTCATAGAAGAGCTCTACTACTGGTATCCCGGCCGGAAGTTGTGTCAATTTCAAGTTTGCGCCGGCGAATTGGTGAGCTTCGTGTGGTGGTTCAAGCTGCTATGCACTAGGTGCTATGCCACCTACATTGCGGGCTACCCAGCTGTTACACAGGTGGGGGTGTGCGAACTGCTCCGCCGGTTGCGCACTTAAGCCACCACCAAGGTCTTGATCATCTTGTTTGGAGCCGTGCTTTTTTGGTACGAGCCGGGAGGCTGGCATTCCTGTGCTTGACGGTGCTTGGATGTGTCTTGTGGTTGTGCATCCTGGTACAAAAGCCTTGTAGTTCGAGTCTCGTGATCTCTGTTGACTTGGAATAAGCACCAATTAGGCCGCACAGCCTCTTCTGCTTTTCAGATGAGGATGATTTTAGCGCTACATGACCCGCCTCGCCCGGGGCCTGCGGGCGGGGGGCGGGGGGGGGGGGGGGGGGGGGGGGGGGGGGGGTGGAAGGGGGAGGGGGCAGGGGAATGTCACGAGGCAGCGGGCATGCGCATTCTGGAAGATATTCCTGAAGTCGTATGAGGCTTAGAGTCTTAGAGAGGAGCGGGTAAAGGTTTCAGTCATAGGGAAATCGGCCAGGTGCTAGAAAGGTAAAGCAAGGGCCGGTCGGCATGGGGGTTCCAATGTCAGCCAGTGAACGGAAAGCAGCTCTGCCAATCACTTCCGACATGTGGCAGGCAAGTTCACCTTCGCCCAAGCACTGTACACCTCAGCGAGCTGTGTCTCTCAAAGTGGGCTGGCGGTGGTGGCAGCCGTCCCGGATTCACGTTGGATTTGAGTTTGCGGGTGCAGCCACCAGAGCTCTGAGGATTGGTCTAAACAGTCAGATCGCACCTATGTCATCAGGTCCGGTGGCTTGTTTTGCTGTAGCCTCGTTATGCTACCGATCACCGCAGTGACCATCATGCCAGCTTCTTCTTGATCTTGCTGGGCTCTGCATCCCTCCTTCACCTGATGCCGGTGATTCTTAGGC